GGGGGGGGGCGCCTTTTCATGATAAGTGTGAGAAAACTCAACAGAGCGGAGCGCGACTGGGAATGAACGCCGCCGCGGCTCGGTGCCCGCGCCGCACAGGGGGGAGAGGGGTGGGGACGGGAGCGGTCAGTCGCGCGTCGGAACGTGTCCGTGTGGCCGCGGAGGGCCCCCCTCGGCGTCGGCGTCGGCGTCGGCCCGGCGTGAGACACGACGCCGGCGTTCCCAGCAGAGAGCCAGCGACGCCGCCGCCGCCTCAAAGTTCGGTGGCCGCGTGGGGCACTCCGCCAAGGAAGGGGACGCGAGGGGCGCAGCTGTGTTCACATAGACCCCCCGGGGGAAGGAGTGGGGGAGCTGGCTAAGTGCGATCGCGGCGTGCGCCGAGGGCCCCGCAGAGGGCGGGAGCCCCGCCAAGGAGATCGTGGGAACGGGCCCCGTACACCCGATAAGGTGCTGCTCGCGGAACGCCCCCGCCCCCCTCCTCTAACTTCCCAAATCGCCGGTCCGTTCCGCCGGTGTGTCCACCTGGGCCGCGGCCCGGCCCGCTCCCACGGGACTCCCCCGCAGCCGGCCCGGCCGCCCCCGCCGGCCCCGCGCCGTGCGTGAGAATGCGCCGTGTTTTCACGCATCGGGGGAGCGGAGGCGGAAGGTGGCGGCGTGAAGCGGGAGCGGCCGGCGGTTGGTGCATCTGCTCCGGAATCTCACGGCTGCTCTGGCCCGGGGGGAGCAGCCCTCCTCCTCCTCCCTCCCCCAGGTACGCACCACCCTTTACCCTCCCTCGCCCCCTGACTCTGCGGACCCACCCGGCCACCCCTTCTCATTCCGCTGCACCCATGGGAAAATGGCAATTGGCGAAGACGCCGCCGCCGCCGGGTGCGCCGGACGCTGACCCGCGAGGAGGGGTCGCGCGCACCGGGCGGCCCATTGTCTCGGGTGATCCGGGTCCAGGAGGAGCCGGATGAGGGGCGGGATCGGCGGCGTGAGAGAGTCCAGCAGCTGCGTGCGAGCGCGCCAGCGGCGGCGGCGGGGGAGCAGCGGCCGCGGGCCGAACGGTAAAGTGCGATGACTTGGAGTGACGCAGCGCCGCGCCGACCACGCGTTCCCACGCTGGCCCGACGGGCCTCCTGACCGCTGCGCTGGCACAATGCCGCGCCGCGGCGACAGGCCGCGCTGGCGGATAACCTCTACCGAAATACAGCCCGATCCGTTGGGCGCAAACAGAAGTGGACGATAGGGGCGGCGACGTCAACGGCGAGCACGCCCGCGCCGCACCCGCCGCGTAGGCCGCGAGTCTCGGCTCGGCGGCGAAGGACCGCATGGCCGACAATTATTACTACTTGTCTGCCTGATTAGAGAAGACACCTACCCGTCGGTTCTCTGCTGATCTCCGCTGAGGGATGCTCTCCGACGGCGACAGAGGGCTCGGGGGCATTCCCTGGGGCAGGGACATGCCGGTCGGGGAGGCGACGCTGGCTCCGCTGGTAACCATGGCGACGACGGCGAGGTTATCCACAAAGAAGAGTAATCCACTGGACTGATGCACTGAGAACTTTTAGCTTGTTGTATCACTGGGGCACCACTACTACAGGGGTCATGTCGGCGCACAGGACGAAGACGAGTACGAGAGCTGCAGTGTCGTGAGCGTGTACCGGGCAGCGGCGAGCGTCCGCGCTCAACTAGTGTCTGCAGCAGACTGAACGAGCCAAGGCTGGCTGTCGGGCGAGTCGGGGCCTGCCGCTTGCCGGTCGTGTGGTCCCCCCTCCCCCTGGCGTCCCCC